ACCACTCTGTGATTCTGTGATTCTGTGATGTTTTTCTTTGGTACTATACTACTGAAAACTTGGAAGAGGCTTATAGGTTACGCTCAGAACTTTGGTGTACTTTAAGTTGGATGAATCTGAGCTGAGTAAAACTTAAACCTTTAAAAAAATCAGATTGTGTAATCAAACTTATAAAGTCAGGTGTAATCAGACCTTTAAACTGCAGAGAGTCTTGAAGAGGCTTCTCCCTGAATTCTAACCACACTATCAAAAGAAGGTTGGCCAGCTTACCATCCATCCATTATTTCTCAGAACCACTCCTTTTGCTTTTAGTCACTGCTGATAATGGGGAGGGGAAGAAGAGAACAGATAAAGTGATTTTGCTAACTGTCCTCATGTTGATTTTTTCCCTTAAATGTCTGAATTTAATAAGGTAGTTGAGTTTTTTTTGTTAATTCAAAAGAAAGCTATATTCTCCAAACACTTTTGCACTTTGTAATTCTGCAGTGTTGAAACATTATGAACAGCCTTTAATAATGCCACTATTGCTTGGCATTGATAATTGCTATTGCTTTCTGTTACATCTAACTAGTTTAATCCATTAAATACGTTGGGGAAAATTCTTGACTAAATGGGTCTAGATTTGCAGGCTTTGTTTAGAAATTTACTGCATATTTGAAGACTGTTTAAACTCCAGGCAAACCCTATTTTTAAAGGCAATGTTAATTGATTGTTGCAGAGAGCTGCAAGAGTTCAGCGTAACATAATGAAAAAAATAAAACACAATCATGTCCCACAAAAAGACAATCAAAATATCATCTTCATTTCAAAATCCCTTTAGTCATAGTTATAATCATAAGATATGACAGAGAAATAGCCCACAAAAAGAGAACAGGACACAAAATAAAACTATACTGGAATCATCTTAATAAAAATCCAGAATAATAGTCTCATAGAAAGTACAGTTAACTGCATATAAACTTGGATTCCTAAAAATAAATTGTAGATATTCAGTAACAATTAAAAAAAAAGAAAATCATGAAAGACAGCAAGCTATTAAAACTTTTGTAAATCAAAATGTACTCCTCTGTATACTTCTGAATCTTTGTTCATCAAAAACCTGATTTTGACGTTGCTTGCAATACTGTATAAAGCTAGTGTAACTTCACTAAATTTGGTTACCTCTGATTTCTATTTCTTTAGATTAGATTAAAAACTGGCAATTTGCATACATTTTGGGGATAAAATATAAAAAGGCTCTCACCCTTAGGGATTTCTATCTGATTGTAGCATGTGAAATTCAGTGACGGTAATTTACATTTTTTGTGTAATGGGGACAGTTCTTATTTCTGGATGGAATCTTGGGTTCTAGCTCTTCACAAGAAAGTTGTGTGGAAACTGCACTATAATTGATGTAGCTGCCTAGGGATTTTCCTAACAGATGGGAGAGTCGAGGATGAACAATGTAGGAAGAGGAAAGAAAAGAATGTAGGAAGAGGAAAGAAAAGGCATTTAGATCTTCTGAATTTTCTCTTCTGTTTTTGAGAGCTTTTATAATTGTTCCTGTGCATTCAAAGAAGCTACTTCTAGGCTATGCTTTTCTGCTTCTTAAACTATTCCGGCATAATTTCTAGGGCATTATTTTTCTGTTAATATTCATTCTTCCTCCAGTAGGGGGATATCAGTCTACCATAAGTTACAGCTTTTGTCAGAACTGTAGTCTGTTTCCTGCATTTTCCTCTTGTGTCTTCATAGTCTCTGGGTATTTATCAGTATTTCAAAAATACTGATCTTGACAGTATGCTGAGTTGCTCAAGACGCTTTAATTATATTGCAAATTGTATTTTCCAGAGCTATGCATTCTGCATCATCATTCTTTGAAACATGATGAACTATTTCTTATAAGTGCACACACTGCTTGATAAGGAAATGCTTTTTATGCTTTATTTTAGTATTTGGTCCTGCCAAATATTCCCTTCTGTCTCCCAAAGAGAACTAGGCAGAAGACTGTAAGCCTATTATCTTCCCTAAAAGCCAGCTATAATCTCACTTTCTTCAATACACAATAAATTCATACCTTTGGCTACAGGTTCTGCTCTTTTAGCAATAATGAAGTCAGTGAATACGCTTACTGGTCCTGCAGATTTGCTTTCACAATATTGTATGTTAGTCTTACTGAGAGTGACAGAATTTAGCTCTTTCTTAACAAAGACTCTCCCATTCTTTGTGTTATTGCATTTGTTTCAGTATCAGCTTTGCAATCTCTTTAGCAGAGTGTTGATTGTACTGTTCTGTGCATGTTTACAAGTTTATCTTAACACTAAATTAAGCTATTAAGAGTCTTAATTTTTCTAAGGAATCTTTAAAATTTTCACCCAACCTTATGTTATATTTTATAGATGGTGGCTGTATTTGTAGTAAGAATAGCTGTTCCATGCCTGCAGGTATGGAATATGGAGCAAGTGTGATATTTTAGGAGAATCCGTCACTTGTCTGAATTTTGCTGCATGAGCTCATTTCTCTGACTTATAAAGCTGCTGCCCTCTCCAGTTATAGTAGTTAGAGTTTCTTCATCTCTGTAAAGTATCCTTTGAAACACTGCCAAAGTCTATTAGGGCAAAATGCCAGGTAGACGAAAAGCAGGAGTCCTACTAATACTGTCAGAGATACTTGAACATAAAACTTAATGAATACAGTGTTCCTATGATGAGAGTATTACAGTGTGAAGACTAGCCTTTTTCCTTCCAGTTACTTATGACTTGTTGCTA